GGGGCCCGGGGGCGCCAGGCCGCCCTCGCGCCGGCGCCGGCTTGTCGCCGAGGGCTGCGTACCTGCGGTCGGGTACCTGGAGCCCGTGCCGCGGGTCCGTTGGCCGAAGGGCCGGGTTTTGCGCCTCTCTCTACTCCCACCCAGGAAAAGGGTTCGAGGCCCCCTCGCCTTGGCCCGGCGACACTGCGGGTGGGAATTCACTTGTAGGACACCGGTGTCTGGGCACCCTCTCCTGTCCCCCCACCGAACGACCCCGGGAGTCCCTGCTCCCCCGTCTGACTTGAAACCCTGTTACTTCGCCGTTACCGGCGACGCATGGGTCCTAGCGGCGCGGACATCTTCCCTGGGCGCGGAGTTTCACTTTCTCCTAGCGGAGGCCTGGGGCCCCTTGCCTTTAAAGCACCTCTTTGCCAAGAGGTTCTGAAGCGCTTACAAAACTCCACTCCCCGACCGCCTTGGAGTTTGGGGCAGAGAGTTGGTGCTTTGGGAGGACGCGTGATTTACGGGGAGGGGGCACAGGTTCCCGGGGAGGGGGCGGGGCACCAAGTCAGTTACGGGAAGGTGCCCTCTCTAGCCCTGTCCGAACCTCCCAGATGTCTCAGGGCTGGGCCAGTGATGCGGACTCCAGCCGCCAAAGTGCGCTGGGGGTACTTCCAAGGCCCCGCGGCACCCTGGCCTCGCTGCCCGGCGAACACGCTCGGAGATATTTCAGGAACACGGGAAATTCCCAAGTTTTCCTCGTTTCCTCCGATTATTTTGCGCGGCATAATAGCAGCCCGAATTCAATGGCATGATGCTGAGGAATGATTTTTATCTGGGATCGAGCGTCTTTGAAAGGACAGCCCCTCCCTGAGCCTAATGGCCGGAGATGGGTGGCCCAGCGCTGGGCTGTCGCTGCTGAAGATAGTGACGCTTCTCTTCGGCACCCGCCCTTGGGGCGGCCCGGCGGAAAGCGAGTCGGGGGCCAGCTGCCTCCCGGACTCGCAGTGACTTTGAGCGGGGAAGAAGGGGCATGATAACGCGAAATTTCGTTTGCTTCACATCCTGGTGGCCTGAGAGCCCAAAGGATTTTTTTTTTAAGCCCGAAAAAAATGCATAGCCAAAACCCGCGTGGTGAAACATCCTTGATTCGAATTCACTTTCTGAGAGAAAAGCTTCTGTATAGGCAAGCGTCCCTTCCAGGACTTGGGAATCCGGTCAAGGCCCGGCAGCCCAAGGTCACTGCGATCCCTGGTGTCCTGGGAATTATTTGTTCCATGTTTTATATGGCTGGGGCGCGCGGTGTGGCAGAGGGTGACGCGCCCAGGGGACCCAATCCCCGACCTGCACTAACCCTCCACCGGGGTGCTTCCTTACTGCCCATCCTTGAGGTTTATTTTGAAGCCCAAAGAGAAAGACACTTGGGCACCTCTGGTCTCTGTGGACTAAGCCACAGGTGGAGGAGAAATCATCCTCCTTACCCACCCCCATACACATACTCGGAGACGTTTGAGTGCGGCCCGGAGGACCAAGGCCCCAGGGGTGGGAGAAACCAGAGAGACAATTGAGACAATCAGGAGCAGCCCCGTTAAAATAAAGCAGCCCCTGCTCCCATGCTCCAAATGGCACTTTATGTATTTAAGAGTTGGTCGCAGTGCAGCCTCCATGACGGTCGGTGTTGCACCACCACCGTTGTGCCGGGACTGCCCCTGGAATCTTGTAGGAACATGCCGTTTCAGGGGAAAGAGCGTGGAATTTGGAGATCTGGATTCTAAGCCACACAACGGTCTAGCCCAGCGCTGAGCACTTGGTGGGCACAGATAAATGTTTGGCCAACTCATAAAACTAAGTGTGACCTTGATCTGGGCGCAGGGCCTCTCACTGCGTGTTTCAACATCCCTGTTAACATCCACTTTCTCTCTGCACGCGGAGGAGGCTCCACCGTGGAAGGCCTTCCTCAGCAGCCATCCAGCATAAAGGCGGTTCCACCTCTTCCCAACTGTTTGGGCCTTGAACATGGGGATGTTTCACCTGGAATCTCAGTTTACTCATTTGCAAAATGTAGACAAGAACTTCTTTGCGGGGTTGCGTGGGAATTGGAGCAAATGTTTTCCAAGTGCCTGGCTGCAAAGTGCCTGGAACCAAGGCGATTGGTGAAAATCAATAGCTGGTATTGTTATTGACTGTTACTACTACCTTAAGGGCCGATTAGCTTCAGCACCTCTCTCTTAACCCCCTGCCTTTTTCTCTCTCGGCCCCCTAGGGCGGCTGAGCCCCCCGGCCTGCACCCTGCGCAAGCACAAGACCAATCGAAAGCCGCGGACGCCCTTTACCACCGCGCAGCTGCTGGCGCTCGAGCGCAAGTTCCGCCAGAAGCAGTACCTGTCCATCGCCGAGCGCGCCGAGTTCTCCAGCTCGCTCAGCCTCACCGAGACGCAGGTGAAGATCTGGTTCCAGAACCGCCGCGCCAAGGCCAAGAGACTGCAGGAGGCAGAGCTGGAAAAGCTGAAGATGGCTGCCAAGCCCATGCTGCCCCCGGCTGCCTTCGGCCTCTCCTTTCCTCTCGGTGGCCCCGCAGCTGTAGCGGCCGCTGCGGGCGCCTCGCTCTACGGTGCCTCTGGCCCCTTCCAGCGCGCCACACTGCCCGTGGCGCCCGTGGGACTCTACACGGCCCATGTAGGCTACAGCATGTACCACCTGACATAGATGGTCCCAGGGTCGCCCACCTGTGGTGCCAGCCCCGTCTTCTGTAAGCAGCAGGAGCCGCGCCCTGACGCACTCTCCTGCTCGGCACCGCCTGGGCCTTCTCTTTAACCCCCGCAATGCTCGGGCTTCTTCTCGGTTGCTCCCTGAGTTCACTCTCCGAAGTCTGATCCCCTCCCAAAAAGTGGTTGGAAGGGTCCCTTAGCACTCCTAGAATCTAGATCTACGTCCTCGAGTTACAGATGGGAAAACTGAGGCCAGAGAGGTAAAGAGATTTATCCAAGATCCCCAGCAGAATGTGTGGCTCAACAGGACTAGGGGCCACATCTTCTGCATAGCTGCTCCCTGTCTTGGTACCAGGCAGAAAAAGCACAGAGAAATTAGCGTCTGATGATTGCAGAAATGAGAACAGTCTGAGAGAAGGAGACGATCATGCCCGGGAAGATGGATCCCAGCTCCTTCTACTGGAAAACTTAAGAAAACTTCAACGGCAAATCATTTGCTTTTGGGGGCAGGGGATACACAGATGCATTGTGAAGGTAGGTTGAAGGGACCTCTCTCTTACCAGTAGCAGAAAAAAGTTGTAAAAAAAAAAATCTGTTCCTATTTAACAGTACATTTGCGTGGCTCTCAAGCATCCCTTTGGAAGGGATTGTGTGTACTATGTAATATACTGTATATTTGAAATTTTATTATCATTTATATTATAGCTATATTTGTTAAATAAATTAATTTTAAGCTACAAGAAATGATCTCTTTTACTGATTTAGTCTTTTATTCTAATTTTACTTCTTGCCCTCTCCTCACATATACAATTACTTTTTCAGTTTGATGGTAGTTTTACACCAGCAACTTTCGTGACAACAGGATATGTAGGGACAGAGGGAGGTGTCTTTTTGAACACACAGGACAGATCTGCGTTAGCAAAGTCAAGTGGAGAATTGAAGCAATTACCTAGGATAATTAGGCTCAATTTTCCAATTCACTTTAAGCTGAAATCGACACTTGCTCAGGCGACCCATAACCGACTCTTTCTTTTTTCTCCCCTTTTAACCTGTCTATGAAAACAAAGCGAATCGCCCAAATGGTTTGATGACTGTAGACAGCTAACCCAGACAATGCCCACCCTACACTCACCCCCGCAAACCTGTTTTTCCCACAGGAGGTCAGGTGGGGGATGGAAGTGATTGTTTTGCTTCTTTACGTCTCTGCCAGTGTAGACGCGGTTTGTGGAACTAATTTTGAGCTGCCAGAACATGAGTGTCTTCACATTCTATTATGATCCCTAAAACAACAACAAAGTTTACAGAAAACCCAGGGTGCCCACACACTCTCCCCTTGCAGAGTCCTTTGCAGGAGCCCCATTTCCAAACCCTCACAAACTTGGTTTTTCTTTTACGTAGTACTTAAGTTCAGGCTTCCAGGAGAATATATTTGAACATGTGCTGAGTTCAGTCTTCGGGAGGAATTCTTCAAGGATATTGAAGGCAGAAAATGACTCCATATTAAATAAAGCCTGTCATGTTCCAGGCACAGCTCTGTTCTTTTTTGTGTTGTGGACCATGGCTTTTCACCAGATCTGCGTACCCTTCTCCCCTAGCTTCAGTTCGGCGGTGGCCCGCCCGCGCCTCCAAATTCCATGCAGGACAGCCCCCACGGCCTTTTCTGAAAGCCGTTAAGAGGGGAAGCCAGTAGACCAAGGGTTGTTAGAATCCGAAGTACCTGGCATTGGATTCAGGGAGGGATGGACTTTTCCCCAGACCGGAGACCAGAGAAATAAGAGTTCAGGGCCAGTGTGCGGTTTCTAGCCCCAAGGGTGGAGGCTGGCCTAAGAATTCCAAGAGAGCCCAGGGTTGCGCGCAGGCACCCCGGGCAGGCTCTGCGCTGGTGTCAGGCAAGTTCCGGGGTACCCTGGGCCTAGGAACCTCCAGCCCTGGTAGCTCAGGTAAAGGTTCTGTCTCCCTTCTTTGGGACTGTAGTCTGAACTTGCCACAATCTCCCTCCCTAAGAAAAGAAAGAAAAACTTGCTGTGCAGTGCAGTCAGTTCCGCCACATTGGACGGTCTGGAATTGCCCCAAGGCGGTGGCCCTCGGCCCTGTATCTTCCAGAAGCACAGCAGAACTTGGGTTTGGCCAGACCCTCTTCCTCCCCCAAAGAGAGGAGTTACACCTAAAAAGGTTTCAGACTCCCATGTCCACATGGCACTTTAAAGGCACTTGAGGGCTGAGGTGCATCCCTGCTTTTTCCAGAGGCAGAAAGGATTTTTTTTTCCTTTTTCTCTATAAGTTAAGCAACCCATGGATGATGGTGCTCAGGACACTATGATTCCTACAAATTTTCTGGGTTCCTTTCTGGAACACCACTGGCCACTTTCCTGTAGTGGGGATAGTGTTGAACTTGAAGCCACATAAGCCCTCGATATATAGTACAATGTGGTTCCAGTCTGACACCTACTAACTGCCTGACCTTGGGTAGGGAAGATCATGTCATCTCTCTGTACCTCCGTTTTCTTGTCTGTGAAATGGGCCTGGGACTCCTCTTCCTGCCCCATACCCCGGGTCAGGATTTTGGGGAGTGTTAACAAGCTCGGGAGGGCTCCCAGGGAATGCCAGGTAGATCGGAGTTTTCTCAGCTCTGGTGCATCCTCAGCACTGGAGTCCTTTCCACACGCGTCCAGGATAGAGGAATGGCGGGGTGGGATCGAGTGTCTCCTCGGGCCTGGCTCCCAGGCCTCCTGGCTCCTCAGAGTTTGGCAATTTAGGGTCGAGGCAAATTTAGAGCAACATAATTGCCGTAATGAGCAACGGCTCGCTCTCTGCAGACGCGCCAGGGCTCCAGCGAGGCGGTAGCTGCAGGCGAGGCGGGCGCGCCTCCCCGCCCCCCGCCCCCAACCCCAGCCTGGGTGAAAGGGGCCTTCGCCGTGGGACCCCAGCCCGCGCGCGCCACCGCCTCTGGCTGCCGGCCTTGGGTGTTTCCTTCCACTAACGGACCCCTCATTTCCCCTCCCATTTTTGTTTCTTTTCGTCTTCTTTTGCCCCCATTTTGTTTCCGCAGTCCCTCTGTCGACAGGGCGCGCACACAGAAAGTGCTCAATAAGTGTTCGCTCCAGACCAGCGCGCTGCTCCGATCCAGCAAAGACCCTGAACCACACTCAGCCCGGTCCGGCGGGGATTGACGGCGGGGCCAAGACACTGCCTCTCTTCCACTGCAGTCCTTCCACCTCAGCTCCCTGGCTTGTCCAGCGAGGGCAGGGAGGGCACGGGGCTCTGGGCCCTGGTCCTTTACGCATCAGTTTCATTCTCTGGCACCGGCTCGATCGCGCCGAGTCGCCACCTACCGTGCTGGGCGGTTGTGCTGGAGAAGGCGCTGGCACTGAGAGCCTACTGTGTGCTGGGAGTTCCCGCCACGCCGCCCGCTCCGCGCCTCCCCACAACCTAGGAGATCTTTACAGCCCGGAGGATGCGGCCCAGAGAGGTGAAGTGGTTTTCCCAAGGTCACACAGCTAATCAGGGACAGGGCAGAGATGCGAACACGGATTCTGCTCGGGGATCCACGCTTTCCCCGCGCTGCCCATCTCCGTCTAGTTGAGGGTCGCCTAGTGCCTGATGGGCTCTTCTGCGAAGTCGCGCCTGTCGCTGGAAAACGGGCCGCCAGCGATTCGGGCTTTAGTTTTTAATTTAACTTTTGAGCCCTGACCACAAGCAAGCGATTCCCCCGAGGCACGAGAGGGGCGCCTCCCCTGCCCTGCAAGCTGTCGGCGGAGGCGTTTTCGTTTCGTTGGGGAGTCAACCAAAGCCTCAGTCTGCAAACCCAGCTTCTGACCACGCTGGCTAGTCCCAAGCGGCCCGTGGCGTGGAAGCAGGTGAGGGACGGGGCTACCCGCCTGTCGGGGACCTGGGGCGCCTCGAGCTCGGGGCGTAGGTCGGCGGATCCGCGAGGCCGGGATGGCGCTGGAGGGCTCGCGCGAAGAGCGCCTTGTTTTAGGGTTCGTTTCTCTGATCGTCGACCCCGGGGCTGAAGACCCAGATCGCGCAGGAGGCCAGATGGGGGCCTCGAGTGCAAATCCTAAGGCTGAGTCCCCGTAGTGACCCAAGGCCCCGAGGTGAGCGCAGCCCTCTCCAAGCCTGCTCCCCTCCTGCAGCCCTTGGGGGCGCAATGAGAAGCGGCGAGGAGAGGCCGCGGCTGCCTTTCAACTCGGCGGCTGGCGCCGGCCTGGCCGGGCCCCCGGGGCCGGCGGCCTCCCAGGCTCTGTCCCGCCCTCCTTGCCGCTCGCACCGCCGCACAGCCGGGGCTGTCCTCCGGCTCGGCCCCGACGCCGGCACTACGGCACCCGACCTGACCCCGACTGCCACCACCGAGTGCCTACTCTCCAGAGAACCCCGAAGCCGCCACCCCAGACTCGCGGAATTCCTTCGGCTCCGTTCGACTGTCCCCTCTCCCGCGGCGCACACCACACCGCCCCCTGCCCAGGCCTGGGAGGACCCTCCCTTCACTGGGGCCTGCCTCGTCCACAGCGCCCTCCCGCGGCCGCGCACGCCCACAGCCCCGCTCTCTACAGCCCCGGCTCGTTGTCGTCCCTGGTGCCTGACGCTGGACTTGGCTCCCTCCGTGACAGAGCCTACAAGTGCATACGCACACGGCCACCGCACATCGCCAACACAACACATCAACATACACCGCAACAAACACATATGCACACAAAACCAACACATGCAACACATATGTACAACCCACACACAGACACCCAACCCACATGTCCAACCAACACATACCACACGCACAAAACCAGCATATATCACCAACCACACACCGCAGCCTATACACACACTGCCAACAAATACAAAACACACATATCCACACTACCAACACATACCAGCAACGCAAACACCCAAACACACACAACCAACATACGCTACAGACACTGTACACACGAATCACCCACACTCCACCAACACACAACCAACACCCACAATCAATACACACATCCCTACACACACAGTCTT